GAAGGGTTGCATGAGTTATTATTTTTCATTATATTTTTGCTATGCACGCATGGAACTGAATTTGAATGGCAAATGTTGAAATAACAAGGACGAAAACTAAGGGAAAGTTTCCTAATTAAAAATTAATAATCTGCGGTGGTGTTGATCATTCTTAACACTTAAAATTATCTTACAAGAAAATCATGAGAAAATCTTAAATTATGTGTATGACGACGGAGAAGAAGAACTTGATTTCCTATCCCCAACTAACTTTGACTTATAGTACATATGACCTAAAGATAGTGATAGTACCACTATATTTGTCTTTTCCATTCTTTTCAGTGGAGTCATATCTTATACATATGTCCAAAACTGCTTCCTACATATATTTAAATTTATCTAATCCTAACATGGCGTAAAGCTGTTTCACACATCAAATGAACTTAACTTTTTTTTTTGTGCAATCTAACAAAAATATGTGTTCTAATATAATGTATCCTCTCTTTTTCTGTTACCCTCCTTTTCTTAATGTGTGTGGTAGCTCGTGCTTTTCCTGAAATATAACATAATAATCTGTTTGAAAATGTTCAGGAGCAAAAATACCTGTTTGGACCAATTTGTTTTATATTTTACTTCCTTAACAGTGATAATTTATTCTGCTGTTAATTTTAGTTAAGTTGGCATATCTAATACGAATTCCTAGTATGTATGTTATATGAACAAATGAAAATGATATTGCATTCTGATGGAGCAGGTATCTTGTCAGAAAGCTTCTGCAAATTATTTAAAAGAAGTGAAGAGGTCCCATTTCGTTAGTTCTGACAAGGTACATCTTGGCTTTCACCTTCCAAATGCCTTCATTTCAAAAGTTAGTGAAAGAGAAAAAGAACGATAAAAGAAAAACACACTGCACTACTCAACTTTAAATCTTTTTTATCTTGGCCTTCCATAATCTTGCTGTGGAGAATGGGTTCTAACAAGTGGTTATCATTATTATAATACGTTGGTTTTGTAAGGTTGTTAGATTAATGGACGAAGTGGAATCCATATTCACCAAGCACTTTGCCAACAACGATAGGAAAAAGGCAATGAAATTTCTAAGACCCCAACAACATAAAGATTCTCATATGGTCACCTTCCTTGTCGGTAATGCCTCTCTCTATCCATGTCTCTTCGCTATATTGGCATGGCATGGCACTTAACAATGAACAACACTAGCAAACTATTTTAAGAACAGTGAAGGTAGTGTCACTTCAGAATTCAAATTGCAATGCATTGTCTGAGTAGATCACTGCATGTACCAACAGACATGAAAAATAATATTTTTATGTAATGCTATTAGCACATGCTTAGTGGCCACCAATTTGAGCACTGGGTGGACCTACCAAGCTGATTGATCAAATTGTACTGTCTCTGCAGGGTTATCTACAGGATGTTTTGTATCCTTGTTTTCTGTATACGCAATTTTGGCCCATTTGTGCGCTATATTTTCCCCTGGTAAAGAGCCAGCTTATATGGAAACAGTCTACCCCGTTTTCAGGTTACTTCACATTCTTCCAACTTTAACATACTTTACACATTTTCTCTTTTGTGTGTTGTTCTGCTCCACGTCTTAACTTAATCACCAAAATACTATTTTCAAATGAGCTCTTACTAATTTGTCTATATCAAGCACCCTTAAAGTGTACATTACATTAACACTTAAAGTGTACATTACATTAACACCAAATCTTTTATAAGGTGAGAAGTGAGTCTAAAACTTTTCCTGAAGTAGGTTATCAAATATAGTCTTTTCTACCTCAACTTTATAACTATAAACCATGAAATTGAATGTAGTTAAACTGAGGACTTTCTGAAAACTCCCCTGAAAATTTAATTTGAGGATTTTTAGACTAAAGTAGATATATGATTGATGCACTAATGGTTAAGTGATTTTGTGCAGTGTGTTTACGCTGTTAAGCCTGCACTTGTTTTTGTATGGATGTAACCTGTTCATGTGGAAGAATACAAGAATCAATTACAATTTCATATTTGAGTTCTCTCCAAGCACAGCACTAAAGCACAGAGATGCATTTCTGATGAGCACTACCTTAATGACAACTGTGGTTGGGGCAATGGTCTTACATCTGCTTCTAAGGGCTGCTGACTTTTCTCCTACCCAAATTGATGCCATTCCTGGGGTTCTTCTTCTGGTTTGTCTCATAACTATTGATTTTCCTTCTTGTTTATGAGATAAGCTAGTTTAGTTAGCTTCAAATTTTGAAAAGTAGTTTATGAGAAAATAGTGAAAAAAAAAATGAAAAAAACACACAAGAAAACTAACAGCATATTTTAAGCCTTGGTTTGAGGAATCTAGGAAAAATACACACAAAACACAATAAGTCAATTCAATGGGAAATCCTCACTCTAGAAAAGCCATGACACAGTTTTTTAGTCTACTCTCATGTTAAAAACAGATGAATGTATTCTTATGCCTTTTCTAGAATTTAGATAGATTGGATAAAAAAATAAAATAGACTTCTTTTAGTGTAATATTCAATTAAATAAGTGGTTGAATAGATACTAAAATAAGAATAATAAGATTACAAAGAATAGTCTAAGCACATTAAATTAGTGACAGTCACATTCATAAATTCAAAAACACCAAAAAAAAAAATGAAATTTGAAACAGCCTAAGCAAACTTTGGTCACAGAGCTTGGTCAATAAAATTGAGGAAACTTTCGGCAATTAGATTCTTGCTTAAGTCTTACAGATCACAAAGTTATTCTTAAACAAGATACTAATACCATTGTAGAAAAATTGATTTTGTAACTTCTGTTCTTAGTGGCTAAGGGATAAAGATAGATATAAGTAATTGATAATACGTTGGGATGCATTATTCAAGAACAAAGTGACTAATTTTACAGGTTTCTGAGAATAACATGTGGTCAATGGCTTCAGTGCTACAGAATCTGACTGAAATTCAACTCAACTTTCAATTCTCTAACTCAAGTGTGTGCATGGCCAAACTATTTAAAAACACACTAAAAGCAAGATTTCATGTCTCCATCATATAATTTATATACAACTTAAAATTATAAAGAGAATCTTCATAAAATTTATTGAAACCTACCCTTTCTCCTTTTTTATCAAGAATAAAAAAACTATAATTTAAAAGAAATTTCATCTAGCTTTCAAGTTTAAAAGGATTATCTATATATATATATACCTCTCTTATATCTATCATATCTATATATATCTAATATAGATATATAATTTATTTTCAACTTATTTAAAATTTTCCTATTTTATCCTTAAAATAAAATGATAGATGTTTGCTCTTATTGTGTCTGAAAGGGACACTCAAACGAATTCTCACAAAAATAAATACCTAGATGTATTTTTTATCATGTAAACGGAAGTTTTAAAGTAAACACTAATATAAATCTCCTATATGTCTTTTGGTGTGAGGATGTTTCAGCAATATAATAAAATAAATATGTATTTTCTTTAGTTCGGATAAAATACAATTTGTAAAATAATTTAAATACTAAACAGATATTTCATATAATTGCATTCTTTTATTTTTTTCTATATTTTATAGTATAGGATTATCACTTTTCTTTTTTTGTATAAATTGATCCTACGGGAATTAAACAGAATTAGTTGCAAGTTCAATTCGAAAATCAATTATAAAGTTCAAAATAAAAAGTTTAGCACTGCTCTTAATTTTTTTGCTTTTAAAATTTTTAGTTTATTATTGCCAAAGTCGTAACTCATGTTTACTGGATAACAACATGATTAACAATTTGAACATGCATTTCTAGTTAGTTAAAGAGAGAGCCTTTAAAATAAGATAATTGAAATAATAGATGTGTATTGGAGGTAATTTTGCACAATTATTTTATTTTTTTTATAAAATTTTTATTTAAGAATGCTTGCTCAATTTAAATTTTGTTAATAATTTATATTTTAATGATTCAATTAGATTTTTAAAATTAAAAAAAAAAAGTACAAAAAAGGAGATGTTTTATGCACCTAGATAATAATTAATGAAATATAGAAATATTATAATATATAATTTTTAGTATAAAACTTTTTTCCATTACAGAATTTGTTTCTAAAGAACATTTCCTTATTTTAATCCACTTTGGTTATAATAATTTTCTGGAGTAGTTTAAGTGGGTAGTTTGATCTGTAAATAATTTAATCAACTGACTGACACATGTGAGAGTGTGGTAAGTTGATTCACAGAGCTATTATAATAATTGCACTAGTAAAACCATGGCATTTGTTATTTGATCATAGGATATATACTCAATATTTTTGGCACTTTGCTAGTAGAAAAATTATCTTTCCTTCAGAAACCAAGCATTATATCATTTAAAAATTAAGGATACGAAGAGGGTGGTAACAATTGACAACAATCGGTTTTATATACCCAAAAAAACTATGGTAGCTAATCTAGCTTTCGAGACAATGATGTTTCAGTTCATCGGAACGTGAAGTTAACTTAAATTTTAGTTGTTTGTCCTATAACGAAATTAATAAACATCATTACACATTTGAATGTTTACTAGCTAAAATCATGAAATAAAAAATAACAATCCTTCTTTGAACCATTTTGAACATGCCCAGTATCCAAAAGAGGCAATAACAAGAAACAAATAGAGAGGGTTCTTTCTCTTCCTACTCTCTTTATTCTTTACACTGCAAGCCTCTTTTTTGTTAGCATGTCTACAAGACATCACCTTTCTTTGTACAAGAAAATCACCTCATCAGTCGGAGTCTGTCTCTCGGAATGGAAGTGGAACTGTCTTCACTGCCCGGTAATGGCCAACGTTATTTAGATGCTCATTCTCCAACCTGTTCACACAAGATCAACTTCGTCACTGAGTTTCTAACAACTGTTAAAGAATCGTTTTTAATATAACATCAGAAATTACAAAACCATTTTCTTATTATGACTTAGAGTTCTGTCATTGTCACTCCATTCTAGTGACATCATTGTTCCTATTATTAGAGACATAAAGACTTTTTCTAGGCCTCTACCTAACAGAATGGGGTTTTAATAGGACTTACATTACTAGGTTGTGCTACATTGGATGTGATTGGTATTTTAAGGTTCAGGTCGGGATAAAAAAAATCATCCTGCTTTCTAGATATGATAAGATATACCTGTAGAAATTCCAATGCCCTCTTCTAATAACCTCAAGTGCTGCTAACAAAAATTCTAGCAGTCGTGATTGCAACATGCCCCACTTTGAAGTGCAATATAGGTCTCCACCCATGTCACTCTCAGCACAAAATTCAAGACCTGAAATTCAGTATCGCTTAGTTATATATAAAAAACTTACTTAGTGAAATTCAGATCAGGAGGTAAAGAAGAAAGCTTACAATAGCATATAGTATATGCTTTTATTCTTTAAAATTAGTTCATCTCTGAGCCATGGATTTATGGAATCGGGTTTAAGAAATCCCCAGTCCTTGACAAAATCCCAGTAAAGTTGATACACTGTGGCCACCATAGAAGTGATTAACACTATAGCAAACCATAGATGATCATTTTTCCTGCTGTAGGTAACTCTAGCCCCAGCTGCCACCATTGCCGAAACATACTTACCCATGTTAGCCAAATGGTTCACATCACCATCATCTAGATACCGTCTCACGCACTGGTAAGGACATTCAACCAAACCTGCTTTAGTTTATTTAAAAATAATTTAATTACCTACAATGAGTGGTTTACTATTAATTACTATTTAGACGACTCCAATTCTTTCTGAAGTAGTTTTCTAGTGTTCAATGCCAAAAGAAAATCTACAGTTAGTCAATTTCTTCATCCTAAGCTTACCTGCAAAGCACGCCAATAATAAGGTAAAAATGAGATGATGTAAGTTAATTCCGTGTACAATCTTCCTGAATGACAGGCCTCGGAGTGGTGTGTTTTGAAAATTCTAGCAAAAATGTGACAACCAAGAAATTTCCAAATGCCTTAGCAATGGAATCTGCAAAAATAACAACAAATTTAATGTTACTTAGGATGCATAATAAGAATAGGAAATAATGAAAAAAAAGGACCAAAACCAGAATCAATTGTAGAGACTAAGATCACCTGGCTAGTGAGTTGATCGGCCATAAAAAAGTCTACAAGCAGAACCTATGGAAAGGCAATGACAAATTATAAAATTAAATGCTTCATTTCAGTTTTCCGCATATGTGACCTTACAATGTTCAATTGTTTCAAGAAATCAACTGAGAGAAGTTTACCTTATAAAAGGGAGAACATACTATGTTGCGAATAACCCGGAGAAAGCAGTAACGTGTGGGACGATAAAATATGTCAAACGGGCAAATGAGCAGTGCTATGTAAAACTGAAATTAGAATTTCTTTGTCAG